TGCTCTTCTCTGCGTTCTTTCCAGAGTCTTAACATCCTTTTTATATCATGGAAACCAAAACTGGATGCAGTATTCCAAGTGTGGTCTTACCAAGGCTTTTTTTTTTTTAAATGATATAATCCAGTTATCCATAAATGATTTTGGCACCTCTACCACTGAAATATACTGGACAATAAAATCATAAAAGTGTTGTTTTGCAACATTTTTGAATTGATTTTCTAATAAACCTATGTGATTTAAGGTAGCGTTTTTTCCCCAGCACCAAAGGGGATTTTTAACTAACGGAATGGATATTTCTTTGGTATTTTTCGAAGCAACTGTGGTGGACACCGTTGTTTACAATGGGTTTGCAACTTCCCCCAAATGTTTCCGTATGTTAAACGTTTCCTCTTTTTTTTTTTTTTAGAGTTGGGTATGAATGGCCTTTCAGAGTTTCCCACCAAAATTCTCGGAAGACAAAATTGGGTAGATAATTTGCTTCAAGAGGAAGGGGGGTGGAAAATGGCTTAAGGGAAGAGGTCCTGTAAGAGGGAAATCTCATTTATGGAGCTTTTACCTAGAACCACTAAATTTTGGGATTTTCGGAAAGAATATAATTCTTTATGAATAGAATTCTTTATTGGCCAAGTGTGGTTGGACACACAAGGGATTTGTCTTAGTGCAAATGCTCTCAGTGTATATAAAAGAAAAGATACATTCGTCAAGAATTATAAGGTACACCACTTAATGATAGTCAAGCATGGAAGGTTTAGGATTGGGATTTACAGAAAGCATGGAAGGTTGTTTGAAAAAAAAATGATTGTGCAGTGGCAAGGCCAAACATTTAACACGCATATACAAGTAGTCCTCAACGTACATCCGTTCATTCAAGTGAGTGTTTGAAGTTACAACAGCGCTGAAAATAAAGTGACTTAGAACCGTTGCAGCATCCTCTTGGTCACATGATCAGAAATTCAGATGCTTGGCCACTGCCTCATATTTATGATGGTTGCCGTATCCCAAGATCACATGATCCCCTTTTGCGACCTTCTGACAAGCAAAGTTCATGGGTAAAGCCAGATTCACTTAACAACCGGGTGACTAACTTAACAATCACATCTTTTAGCTGTGTTATTTTTCTATTAGTGTAGTAACAGAATAACAGAGGTGGAAGGGATCTTAGATGTATTCTAATCCAACCCACTATTCAGACCAATGGTTTGTTCCATCTCTTCTTAAAAACTTCCAGTGTTGGAGCATTCACAAGTTCTGGAGGCAAGTTGTTCCACTGGATTAATTGTTTTCACTGTCTGGAAATTTTCTTCCTAGTTCTAAGTTGCTTTTCTCCTGGATTAGTTTCCATCCGTTGTTTCTTCTCCTGCCTTTTTTGGTGCTTTGGAGAATGGATTGACCTCCTCTTCTTTGTGGCAACTCTTCAAATATTGGAAGACTGCTATCATGTCACCCCTAGTCCTTTTCATTAAAGTTCTTCATTGTTGTTAGTTGCAAAACAGACCCAGGAAACTATAGACCAATCAACCTAACATCAATACCCAGGAAGATACTGGAAAAGATAATAAAAAAACAGATCTGCCAACATCTAGAAACAAGTAAAGTAATAACTAGCAGTCAGCACGGGTTTGTTAAAAACAGATCATGCCAAACCAATCTCATTTCATTCTTCAAAATCAGTGACTAAATTAGTAGACCAGCAAAATACTGTGAACATAATATATTTAGATTTCAGCAAGGCATTCGATAAAGTAGACCACAACCTACTTCTTAGTAAGCTAGAAAAAAGTGGAATAGATAGCACCACCACTAGATGGACTCACAACTGGCTGGCAAACCATACTCAATGAGTAGTGCTTAATGGGTCTAAGTCTACATGGAGGGAAGTAAGCAGTGGGGTGCCACAAGGTTCTGTTTTAGGCCCAGTACTCTTCAATATCTTCATTAACGACTTAGATGAGGGAATAGAAGGGAAACTTACCAAATTTGCAGATGATACTAAGCTGGCAGAAATAGCTAACACCCAAGAAGATAGGCTCAAGATCCAGATGGATCTTGACAGACTAGAACACTGGGCCATATCTAACAAAATGAAATTCAATGTAGAGAAAAGTAAAGTCCTACACATAGGCAAAAAAACCCAAAAGTACACATATAGACTGGGTGAAACCAGGCTCAATAGCAGTAACTGTGAGAGGGATCTTGGAGTCTTAGTGGACAACCAGCTAAATAGGAGCCAGCAGTGTGCAGCAGCAGCCAAAAAAGCTAATGCAATCCTAAATTGTATTAACAGAGGGATACAATCAAGATCAAGGGAAGTACTAATACCACTCTATAAAGCCTTAGTAAGACCATACCTAGAGTACTGCATCCAATTTTGTTCTCTACGTTATAAAAAAGATGTTGAGACTCTAGAAAAAGTACAGAGAAGAGCAACCAGGAGGATTACGGGACTGGAGGCTAAAACATACAATGAACGGTTGCAGGAACTGGGCATGGCTAGTCTAGTGAAGAGAAGAACCAGGGGAGACATGATAGTGGTCTTCCAATATTTGAGGGGCTACCACAGGGAGGAAGGGGTTAAGCTATTTTCTAAAGCACCTGTAGGCCAGATAAGGAATAATGGATGGAAACTGAACAAGGAGAGATTTAACCTGGAAACAAGGAGAAACTTTCTGACAGTGAGAACAATCAACCAATGGAACAGAAGTTGCCCTCGGAAGTTGTGGGAGCGCCATCACGGGAAGCTTTCAAGAAGAGATTGGACTGCCATTTGTCAGAAATGGTGTAGGGTCTCCCACTTGGGCAGGGGGTTGGACTTGATGACCTTTAAGGTCCCTTCCAACTCTGATTATCTGTTAAATCTGTTAAGTCTTGTCCGACCCATCACAACCCCATGGACAACGTTCCTCCAGGCCTTCCGGTCCTCTACCATCCCCTGGAGTCCATTTAAGCTCACGCTGACTGCTTTGGTGACTCCAGACACAAGAACAGTTTTTTCCCGAAAGCCATCACTCTGCTAAACAAATAATTCCCTCAATACTGTCCAACTATTTACAAAGTCTGCACTACTATTACTATTAATCTTCTCATCCCTCCTTATCACCCATCCCCTCCCACTTGTGACTGTATGACTGTAACTTTGTCGCTTGTATACTTACGATTTATATTGACTGTTTCCTAGTATGATTTGATTGCTTATTGTACCCTGTGACTATCATTAAGTGTTGTACCTGATGATTCTTGACTCTTGACGAATGTATCTTTTCTTTTATGTACACTGAGAGCATTTGCACCAAGACAAATTCCTTGTGTGTCAAATCACATATGGCCAATAAAGAATTCAATTCAGTTCAGTTCAGTTCAGTTCAGTTCTATTCTATTCTATTCTATTCTATTCTATTCTATTCTATTCTATTTAATATTCTATTCCATCCAGCCACCTCCTTCTCTGCTGTCCCCTTCTCTTTTTTTGCCCTCAATCGTTCCCAGCATTAGGCTCTTCTCCAGTGAGTCCTTCCTTCTCATGAGGTGGCCAAAGTATTTGAGTTTCATCTTCAAGATCTGGCCTTCAAAAGAACAGTCAGGGTTGATCTCCTCTAGGACTGACCAATTGGATCGCCTTGCAGTTCAAAGGACTCTCAGGAGTCTTCTCCTGTGCTGACTCCGGAGCCTCCAGAATCGGACATCAGAGAGGCAGAGAAACAAGGGGAGCCTGTTCCCAGTGCATGCGTGCGCAGAGCTGCCAGAAGGCAAGAACAGTTAAGACAAAAGGGGCGACCCGGGAGTAAGGCTTGGAGGTGATTGGCCCTCCCATAAGACATAAAGGAGGAGCAAAGGGAGATGAGCCTTTGCAGGAAGCAATTTTGTTTGTATTGGTCGGTTTGAAACCTGAAGCTCCATGTTGAATTTGTGCTCCATTTGGTCTTGTACAACTAATTGGCAATTTAGTCGTTGGCAGCATTTCAAGAAAGATAAAGGTGGGTGCTTATCAGACTTGTCCTGAAGGATGTTGGCAGACTTCTGTGGGACTATTTAGAAACTGTTTGAGAATCATTACGGGCTGTGATTGAATAAAATTCACAGCCGTTGAAATAAAGAAAAAAGGGTTTGGGGACTAACATGTGTTTGTTAGTGTCTCAGGAAACCTCAGTCAAAACATCTCCAAAGGCCTCCATTCTTTGGTGCTCAGCCTTTCTTATGGTCCAGCTTTCACAGCTATGCATTGCAACTGGGAAAACCATAGCTGTGACTCAAAATGCACTTTTGTTGGCATTAAAGCAGACATTCCTCATTCCTGCAACTGTTCTTCGCATGTTTTAGCCTCCAGTCCCCTAATCATCTTTGTAGTTTCTCCAGTCTGAGCAAGTTGTTTAGCGGGGAACCCACAAATGTTTTCCACGGTTTCATTTGTCACCTAATTTGGATAAGGCCCACATTCACTTCCAGGAAAAAAAAATTACGAGAGCCTTATCGACTTTTTCTTCCTTCAGGAATACGTCCTCAAGGGTCCGGCCAGATTTTCACAAGGTGCATTTCTAATCCCCTGGTTTCACTGATTTTTAATGCCTCCTTCTTTTAAGTTTTTTTTTCTTTTTTTGAATGGACCCAAATATTTATATCTTATTTTGATTTTTTTTTAATTCTTCCCAAGGCAAAGCCCTTTCAAGTTGTGCCAGTATTATTATTTCTCCAAACGAGTTTCATCTTGATCCTTAAAGCAACTCAGTGCCAAGAAGGAGCTTGCTTTATAGATAATGCATTTTTTTTCTCTTTTGCAATGGCCCATCAACAATTCCATTTGAGCAATGGCAGGAATTCAAACAGCTGAACAGGGTTTCTTTTTTCCTCTTTTTTCAAGAGGTCCTTCTAATGCAGGATATCCTCAACTTACGACTGCAATTGAGCCCAAAATTTACGTCGCGAAGTCAGATATTTGAGTTTTGCTCCATTTTACGACCTTTCTTGCCACCATCGTTAAGTGAATCCCTGCAATTGTTCAGGTAGTACTGGCAGTCCTTGACTTACAATGATTCATTTAGTGACCATTCAAGGTTACAACAGCATTTATGACTGTTGTTCACACTTACGACCTTTGATCAAAATTCAGGCACATGGCAACCGACTCATATTTATGACAGTCACAGCGTTCCCCTGATGCCCCTCTTGCGACCTTCTGACAAGCAAAGTCAATGGGGAAGCCAGATTCACTTAATGACCGTGGGACTAACTTATCAACTGCATGGATTCACTTGCCAACCGAGGCAAGAAAAGTCATACAATGGGGGGCAAAAGCTCGCTTAACAAATGTCTCAAACGAATTTGAAACCTGCCAAAATTGTAGTTTTAGTTCAAAAGGAGGGGAAAAGCTTTAAAGATATGACAGGATACGTGACCAAATACTTCTTTGGTCTTTTTAGTTGTCAGCAGAAAGGGAGTGGGGGAAAGCAGTGCATTCCTTAAATGCTTCAGATAATTGCTAGGCAGCCAAATCTGTTGGTGCACAAGATTATTACTGGAGAGCATGATTGATGACTCTTGACTATGGAAGTGTCCCATTGGATAATATACATCCAGGGGGTTGGGGGAAGACCAGGATCAAGAGTGAAATGAATGATGTATCTCAGAGTGGGCTGCATCCAGGTAACACCAACATGTTCACTCCAAATAAATCTTTTTTTTTTTATACTGAGACATGCGGCTAGAGACACATGATTTGAAAGAGGATGGATTGTCGGAGCCCCAACAGAATTCTTGACTTACAACCATTCGTTTAGAAACTTCTCAAAGTTACAATGGCGCTAAAAATAAAATGATTCACACTTATGACCATCACAGCCTCTCCACGACCATGTGATCCACATTTGGGTGCTTGACAACCTGTGTGTATTTACAACCGTTATGGGATCCTGGACTCCTGGGATGGCCATTTGCGACAT